GGCTATTAGGTCTGGATTTTTTTTAATTTTTTTTTGTTTTTTATTTGTCAGAATGAGATTGCGGCGGCGTTTTTTTAATTTGTTTATTTATTTATTTTTATTTAATTTAACCACGCAGGCAAAGCCGCGGGTCTACAGATAGTTATTTATAAAAATGTTTACTTTATTAGCTAAATAAAAAATTGTTAATAATTTAAATATATAAAATTATGATAATTAAGATAAGAAATAACATTATTATGTAATTTATTTATTTTTATAAATTGTGCCTACGTGTAGGTACATTAAGCTTTGATGATCAAAGCAAATATTTACACTGATAAAAATGGTATCCTTGTGGCAAAAGAATCCATTCATTTGAAAAATATTGATTTAATTCAAAGAAACTGTATTTATTTTAAATCCGTTTCCCTTCGGATAAGATAATTGCTGCATTTAGGTGTAATTCTCGATTCTTTTGACATTTAATTACTTTAAGGCAAAGTAAAGGCATTTAGACAAAAGAAATCTTCAATTCATGTCTTTCTGTCAAAATTTAATGTTATTGCTAGAAATCCCACGGTTTTGTGCCAAACTACACTGATAAACATGGATTATTTTAGGCAAAAGAATCCATTCATTTGAAAATTATTCTTTTAGTTTAAAGAAAGTTAACTTTTTGCAAATTCTTTGGCATTTGACTAAAATAGGTGATGCATTTAAGGCAAACTCTTGATTCTTTTGGCTAAATCCTTTTTAATAACTTTATTTCAAGAACAAAGCATTTGTCGGAAATCACTCGGTAATTTGATAGTTCTTGCAACAATGAGTGTCCTTCAGTATCAGTCCACGCGTCGCGTCCACAGTACTTCGTCAAAGGTGTTAATCTCGCGCGAATAAATGACTAGTGTGATACTTTTTCTATGGCTATAAATCAAGATTATTTGTACCATAGTGTTATAGATCGAGATTATGGGTACCATAAAGAAACTGCTTAAACTTTGGGATTATTCATTTATTTCCAAAATTTGGAGGTTTAATTTTATAGGTAATGTATTCTTATTTTTAAAATTTTAATTGATTAGGAATGTAATAAAGAAAAATACCTAATTAATAAGCTAAAATCGACTAAAATATAATTATTTCATGCAAATATTATCATTCTGTAAAACGCTTTCTTAGAACAGGAAAATAAAAATGGCTACCTATACCTTTTCCCAAAGATTAAAATGTTGTAAGAAAATAATGCGGTATTTGTCAATATGTTTTAAGACTTTATCACAAAACCATCCTAATATTGAATTAATCCCCGTGCATTTGAGCCAAAACCTCATGTCAGCAAGTCATGTCCTCCATAGATAAAACACACATATATGTAGGTTTTGGCTCAAATGCACTGGGATTAATTCAATATTAGGATGGTTTTGTGTTAAAGTCTTAAAACATATTGACAAATAAGTAATTACGGCATTATTTTCCAAAAAAATTAATCTTTGGGAGGAGAATATATCCTTCTTATTTCTTGACAGATATCCAGAGGCGGATTTCTAAAAAGGCCAGCTAGACCATAGCCTACGGCTGCAAGGTGGAAATTTCTTTGAGTTTAAGAATAATCAGTTTTTTGTATTTTGTATAAACAATGTATTTTATGTTTATGAGTGAAAGAATAATCAGTTTTTTGTATTTTGTATAAACAATGTATTTTATGTTTATGACTGTATAAACAATGTCTTTTATATTTTTAATAAAAATATGTTTTTAGTAAAAATTATTGTAGTTTTTTTTAATTTAGGCAGGCAATTTTCTAAAATCAATGAGTTTCAGCTAAAGACATTCGGGCTTTGGTTCAAATGCCCATAGATTAAGAGCAAGAAATCCGAGTTTTGATACAAATAACAAAAGTTTTTTAATCAAACGCTTATGGATTTGAAATAAAAACTCGGATTTTGTTACAAAAAATTAAATCACTTAACTTAAATGCCAATAGATTTAAATCCAGACATCCGACTTTTGCTACAAATTCCTAATTCTTTAAGAACAAGAACCTAAGATTTTGTAGTAAGCCCGCTTTTCTTTATTTCAATTTACTTAAGCCTTTGATCCAAATCAGTACCGGGTTATTAATAAAAGCACGGCATTTAAGGACCTATAACGAAGATCTTCTTCTAAATTCATGTTTCTTTCCAACAAAGACAAATCATGAAATGATCTCAAAGAAATGACGTATTTGCTTTAAACCCTTCATTCATTTGGACCTATCCAAAGTCCCCATTCCTTTGAGGGAATGGCAGATTTCTTTGGGGCAAAGGTTTCTTTTTTTCAGTGTATGTTGTAAAAACAAAAAACACTTTATCGTAATTAATTAACTTTTTGCATGTAATATTTTACTTTAATGAATACCAACATAAAAAACCTAATATTATTTTATTCGCGGTGTTAATAATTTTACGAAATAAACACTCCCATTCATTTATATGTGTCCGCTACCAAAACCTATTATGCATAAGGTTTAATTTAATTATACAAACAATTATTAATTTTTAAATTTTGCAGACTTAGTTTTTCTAATGTGGACCAGGCAAAGCTAGCCAAGTACTGAGTACTTTTACTCGTATTTCAATTACGAGTAAAAAAGTACGAGTACTTGTTTACTCATAAGTATTTTTCATTTGAAATACTTATTAATCGTACTTACAAACCAAATTTAAAGTACTCGTAGAATTCAGGAGTAATATATTATATATACGAGTATTTTCGTTTATTATTTGGATGACTTTATGCCAAAATATCGTAAGCATCAAAACATTTTGTTTGGAAATCTGTTTTAAATTATAATATATAGTATAATATAATATATTATAGCCTTTAGGTTTTATAACAAGTTAATAGGTAAAATTATAAACTATTTCAGCATTGTTAATATTTTATGTACATAATGTTTAAAATAAATAATTTTATAAATTTGTATTTGTATTTTTATAGCTCAGGACCAAAGTATGTATAATGTACACTCTCTAAAAATGAATTAGTCAAAAATGACTAATTACCACAGTTATTGGTCGAAATTAGTGAAAATACCGTAAAAAATTATGAAAGTGGAGCAGTTTTTGAGATAAAGTCAATTCCATATTATATGGAAAATGGACTATATCTCAAAAACTGTTCTACTTTTCTAACTTTTGACGACATTTTCGGATTCAGAAATATTACATGAAAATTGACTGCTAAATGTTAAATATACAAATTGCTATTGATGAGAATTGTGGCTGCTTTTTCGCTATGACAATTAGTCATTTTTGACTAACCCATTTTTAGAGAGTAAAGAATAATCAATTAAATTAACTAACTTTTTCTCGTACTCTTTACTCGTGTTTTCACGATTACTACTCGTAACCGTAACCTCTCTTTACAAATGTACTTATGAGTAAAGTACTTACAAGTAAATATTTTAAGTACTCGTACTTAAAATTTTACGAATACTTTTTTTAGTACTCGTGCCCAGCTCTGGGACCAGGTATTGGTTAAGATCGAGCATTCTTATTAAGATCCAAATACACATAGGTCATTATAAGACTTGCCACTGGATCTGTTTTTATGTTTTTTAATCCTAAAGGTACTTTTGCATTTTACTTAAATTAAAAATATTATTATGAGATCATTTTATGGTAGTAAAAATAAAATTGTTACATTTTCTAACTTGGTTTAAGGTTTTGTAAACTAAATCTTGTATATAAAATCTGGTGACTTTCAGCCTATTAATCAAGTTCATTAAAATGGGAGCAGCTTTAAAGATTTTCAATTCCTAACTGTAAGTCGCAGTTAAAGTAAGCGTTATTGCCTGCACAAGTTTCGTAAAAATTGCTTTTTTCCTAATTCGTATAAAAAAGAACGAACGTTCGTGATGTTACAACAGTTGTTATTCTTGTATCACATTGCAAGGGAACATTAAAATAATATTGCCTTGGGGCACGCAAGCGAGCACTGCCGCCAGTAGGCGTTGACATATCTGCACGCAGATCTTCGTTTGTTTCCTTCCATGGCTACCGTCGATGCTTTTTTATGTTTCATTATTTTATTAAATATACAGTGCACGGCAAAGTGCACCCGCCAACCGGCCAACCAATGGCCGTTACCTTGTCGCAAAGCCAATGGAGACTATTATTACTCACAGGAGATTGTTTCAATGATAAACTGTTTGAAAACTTGGATTTAATCCACCATTTTTTAATAATTAATCGGAAGTGCACGATAATATCTTTAATTTACTTGGGAAAACATATAAACTTTGAAGGGAAATCTGATGCGGTTCTTTCCAATCTTGATTGACCTTTACAATATATTATATTCCAAATTTAGTTATTTAGAAATAAAATTTCCAATAATTATTTTTATTTCTGTGTTTAACATTCTTAAATTAAATAATATGGGCCACAATTAAAATTCACTTGGGTAAATACAAAAAAAATATGTAGATACTATAACGAATAATAACTTCAAATTGGCTTAATTTACCTAGGAAAATTCAACTGAATATTAAAATATTCATCATTTAATAATAATTATGGCAATTTATCCAATAAACGTATAGATTTACCTTTTTTTAAGGCGTAACAATGACTTCTATTATAAATATGGTTAACAGGCAGAAAAGTTGGTGAGGCAATATATCATAATACTTTCTCAACACCTTCGCTGTGAATAACAGCCACCCGTAGAGCAGGTTAACTTTTATTGCTTGTCGATGACTGTGCCATAATTTGACTGATTTATAGACAAATAAATGGATAAGCATCAGTTTTTAGTAAATTACTTCATAATAAACTACGAAAGGTTATTAAGGGCTTTAATGTATTTGACTTTTGCGAAAGGGGTATGTTATATCGTTGGAAATTTGTAAATGGCATTCAAGTCTCCCTGCGTTTAGCGCCTATACAAGTTTGGTGCGATTTATATTTCATTTAATCGTTTTAAATATTAATGATATTGATTAAAGATATATATAATAAAATTATTTCTTTTACCTTGTTGACTATTTTTCCGTGTGGTTTTCTTCTCTTTCATCCAGGGGTATTCAGGCACATTAACGCCGGGAGATCCCATGCCGTGGGGCACGTCCATAGGAAACCCGGCGCCCGGTGGAGTGTGCTGGGGGCTCATCGGGGGTCCGTGGGGCATTTCTCCTGATAGATGGGGAAGCGCCGTCATGAATTCGGCCATGGAGGGCTGGCTGTTGATGAAACCTGTCTCATTGCAACCCTCGAGAGGTAACCCAGGGTGCTGGGGCCCACCCGACGCGGCCGACACGGCTGACAACCAGAAGCCGCCGCCGCCGCCGATTGCCGCCCCTTCTGGCGTGTTGGAACGCGTTTTAACCACCACAAAGTCCTCGTCCTCCAATTGTCCACTAGGCATCCGGATCTGATGCTTGATTCTCATTGAAGGCGCCCGTCGCCGGACTTAAACACACCAACCATCACTTTAATCCTTTAACTACACTAAAATCCTCCACTTGACGAGATGTTGATGACAAGGTTGCACTCGCGAGTCTTCAGTTTCAAGGGGGTGGTGTCACTACGCGTCGTGCATTCGCGAAAAATTTTCAGCAACGAGGATTGTCACGCGAACGCAAATAGGAAACGATTGTTACGTGTGTGTTGCTAGTTACTGTTAGTGACGGTTGTTTTTGTTTCTTTCTCATTGAGGAGGATGATGGCTGGTCACGTGGCTGAGGAGCCAGCCAATGCGCAGCGCACAATTCGTCTTTGTGGGACGGCCTACGAAAGCGAAGGCGGGTCCAACGATAGCGTGCCAACCTGCCGAGCAATTACCAGGTAAAAATTATAAAAAATACGCTTCAATGCATCCATGCATTTCCATTTGTTGGGCACAACAAGAAATTTACATAAGAAATCACACACCACCGTCCAATTTAATCACGCCAAGACAATAAAGAAATATGCCGTCACGTTGCTGGATGCTTTTTGACGTGTCCAAGGGTATTAAGATGGTTTGACAGACAAGAGTGTTGTGTACGGCATGATCCCCCATGCGCTGTTAAATACCGAGGGACGCTGAACGTCGCGACGCGCGCCTCTTGGAGGGGCGTAAGTATCTCTTATCATTTTGATATTCTACTATATACATCTTACTTCTTAAATATCAATAACAGTGTCATCAGCTGACAAACAGGAGCAACGAAAAAATGCCCTCCTCAATACAAGAAGTCTTCCGTCGCAATATTATCGTCAATACCTTACACTATTGTTAACTTATACTCTCTAAAAATGAATTAGTCAAAAATGACTAGTTTTCAAAGTGGAAAAGCAGCCACTTGTAAGTGTAAGAATCCGAAAATACCATTAAAAATTATAAAAGTAGAGTAGTGTTTGAGATATATCTAGAGATATATGTATATGGTCAATTCAATATTATACGGATAATTGATTATATCTCATATATTATAACTTTTGGCGACATTTTACATTGAGCTTAATGTCCGGTATACAAATTGTTCTTAACGAGAATTATTAGTGGCTGCTTTTTCGCTATGACAATTAGTCATTTTTGACTTATTCATTTTTAGAGAGTAGGTAAAATCTAGTTCAATTTAGCCTTTCTAATCAAACTGTTTTCTTGTTTATTTTTGTGGTCATAATTAAATTTGAAAATTATATAAAAAACAAACTGGAGCAGGGAACAATTTCTGTAAATCTTAACCCTGCTTACCTTAATATTGTAATACTATCTAATAGATAATTTGCAAACATTCATAACATTTTATTTCAATTAGTCAACATTCTCATGCAATTCTGATTTATGACTTTTTCCTGTTACAACTAGGTCCTTGGAAATGATAATTTAAATAAATATATTTTAAAACATGCAAATTGTAGAGTGGGTATTTTATGTAGATAACCTATTCATGTATATTTTTCTTATTCTATCCAGTGGTTTAATAAACTTTTTCCGTTGAATTTATATCAATTATTATAAGTTGACCAATTTATTAAATTTAACAAATTCCTATCCTACGCAGTAGGTATTTTTTTACATTATTATAATAATAATATATTATTAATTTTAAAATAATAATAAAAATAACTTATTTGTAGGTCAGAAGTTAATATACTTTTTTTTTACATACAGTAAGACATTCTTTATTTCGGTGACCATAGAAAATTATAAAATTTGAGTTATCTAATATTGCAATCAAAATAACTACTAAAATGTATTGACATATTTTTTTATGAAGAAATACGAGATGATTTTTTTTAACAAAATTAAAAAAGTTTTATTTCTTTTATATATGTGCTAAAAATGAAGCAATTAAAATCACCTACATTTGTCTGTAGAAAAGAAAGATATTTTTATTATTTACATAATAATTAAATTACATATTTTTTTCTTATGACTTCGAAAATGTAAAAAAGTCATTCAAATTAATGTTATATATTATATAGTCAGATAATTAGAGGAACATTTTCTTTAGAAGTTTTTAAGTTTAATTTTTGTTTGTGCATACTTATTGTATAAAACTATTATTTATCATTTACCTTAATAGTTTTTATTATTTAAGAACAATTTTAAAATAGCTTGTTAGCTGTTTTGACTTTGATTTTACTTTACAAAATTGTTTCAGAACATTTTTTTGTGTTTTATTTAGTTAATCAACAATCTTTCTATATTGTTTTAAACACAACAACTCCAAAAATGTTCTCTAATTTGAAATTAAATTTTAACAAAAAAATGTTTAGTGGCAAAAAACAAATTCTTTTTAAGGGTTAAATAGCTGTATAAGTTACGACTAGTCGTTTAAAATCATAATGTAAATATGGCAACGATAAATATGAACATTTGGATTTTGTTAAACCATGACGTAAAACCACAAAACTAGTGATTTCTCCGAGCGGTAAGAAAATGCGCATTCCTGGCTTTCAGCGTTATAATGCTTTAAAGATGTGGAAGGATTAAGTCAAGCAATGTGTTCGATCAAAACCACAATGCTTTGTCCAGCCCGTTTGCTCATAACTTCTGGGTGGGTGTTCACTTGTCTACCGTCGATATTATTCCATACACTTTCGGGTTTCCCGCGTCTCTTCTTTTTCTCACTTTGAAATCTATGATTAATTGTTTTTTTATTTCGCTCGAAACATCCAACCATATGCACGGTACTTTTGTTTGACTCGATGAATGAAATCAGACTCATTTGTGCGTTTCAGTATTCATTATAATGGACAAAAACCTAATGCAGTTAATTTGACAGATCGTTTTCGATTTATCTTGTTTTTATTAACGTTTCTAATGAACTGTTCTTATAATAAAGGTAAATTTATTTCTGCTTCTGGTTCTTATTTTATTTCAATATGAAAAAAATAGATGAGCAACTATGTTCGTTTATTATAATACAGAGGAAATAGTTTCATTCTTATTTTCTCACTGCTTGAATGAGCGTTGATTTAACACAAATTTTATGTGGGAACAGCAGTTTTATACCATTTAGCCTTACAGCAAGCAATATGTCTTGAGACCTAGAAGAATAAGTTTTTGGTGCCGCCGCAATGTCCGAACTGAGAGTATGTAAAGTGGCGCGTTTCGAGCAAAAGGGCCGAAGGGTTGACTCATTTCCTGACCAACGGCTTGATTAATGATGCCTAATAACTATGCTTGGAACACGGCATTCACAAGCAAGCGTCTTTCTTCATGCCCGGACTGGACCCGGTCGGCTCAGTTAAAGTCGAAAAATTTGCGTGATTTTTATTTTTTTTTGGACAAAAGTAAATATTTTAAGCAACTTAAAATATCTTTAAAACATGAAATAATAAATAAAATAATTTACTTTTTCTAAAATATGCAAATAAAGTACACAAGCCGACAAAATAAAATTTTCTGTTTACAACAGGGTGGCCAACACCTTTTTTTAGGGAAATTTGATTTCAAAAATGACCATTCAGCTCTTATTTTTGTGATATTGTAAAAAAAAACTGTTCTATAGATTTGCAAATATTTAAATTCGTATAAATTAGACCTGAAAAATTATAGTTTTTCTACTCAAAAATAATGTTTTAAAACGAAATAAATTTCTTTTTAGCCAAAATTTGTCAATTTTTGAAATTTAAAATGCTGTTATGAAAATATTTTTTATCCGATTTTTATAAAATTTACAATTTGGGTTCATGTATCTACTTTATCACGATACACGATACACGTATCGTGTTCATGTAATTTTAGCTGCTTTAAACAAAAACAATGATACTGTTTAAGTAAATGGTTAAAAAAATATACAAAACATTCTTACAGGTCTGCTAAAATAAATGTAAAAAAATGGAAAACAAGATTTTTTTTAATAGAATATGAGATGATTAAACATGTAATAATTTCTGTTCTTCACAATTTTTTTTAAGGAGTAGCACTCGCGCCAGGAGGAGAAATGACAGTAACTACCAGTAGTGACACGCGCGGTTGATTTCTGAGTCATTTGGAGCTATAAATTTTGTAAATGTTGCTAAACTCGGATAAAATTGTTCGCGCAACAGCATTTTAATTTGAAAATTGCCAAATTTTGGGTAAACAAAGATTTTATTTTATTAAAATGATGATTTTTAAAGAATTTTTAAAAGAATATGTGTATTTTTTTTAGTTTCATTGAGACCCATAGCAACATTACCAATGATTCTTGGTTAAAGTATTTAATTAAAAATATATACTTATACGAATTTAAATGTTTGCAAATCGAAAACCATTTTTTTCAAAAAATTGCAAAAACAGAAGGTGATTAAGGAAAATGAATTTTTTTTTTAATCAGCGCACCCAAATAACCCTAAAACCAGCCGCAAACAGAAAACTTAATTTTGTGGGCCAATTTTAGAAGCTTTTAAACCAAAAATGACAAATATAGTGATTAAAATATAAATAGATGTACATATATATAGTGTTGGCCATAATTTTTGGAACCACTGTAAAAAAAAACTCCTTTATTATTCTTTATGAAATTTTGGATAAAAATACTTCAACTTATATCTCAGTTTACGTGTTCGAGGGTTTTTCGAGAAAATATTTTTAAAGCCCTTTCAAAAATTATTTTTTGTTAAGTATTTTTAAGTAAATAAAAAATATGCAGTTAAAGACCGTATTTTTGTATAAATTAAACGAACAGTAACGAAGATACAGCGCTTCAAAGTCGGTAAAAATGATTTTTGATTATTTTGATGAAAAGTGGTCATTTTTGAGGACTTTGCTGAATCGCTGTATCTTCATTGCTATTCATTTGATTTGTACAAAATTTTCAGGTTATACTAAAAAAAATACAGTCTTAAACAGCATATTTTTTATTTACCTAAAAAAAAATCCCTAAAAGTTATTTTTTTGAACGTTTTTTTGGTTATTAAATAAAAGGGCTTTAAAAATATTTTCTCGAAAAACCTTCGAACACGTAAACTGAGATATAAGTTGAATTATTTTTATTCAAAATTTCATAAAGAATATTATTATTGGGGCGATTTAAAGTTAGATTTTTTTTTACAGCGGTTGCAAAAATTATGGCAAACACTGTTTCTATCTATACAGGGTGTCCCAGAAGTCACGCACCACCTTAAAGGTGTATAATCTATAGCGCCTAGGAATCCCAGAAAACTGTTAAAAAAATCTACCTTTGTTATTCAAAATATATAGGGGATATATATTTTTTTAACAAATTAGTGGATTTATTCTTAATCATCATGACCCCAAAGAACAATATTTAT